TATATATATAGTTTAAATATAAATGACATCAGTGTTTAAAGTTAATTTAGCTTAGCTTTAATGGTTTTTAGTTTAGTTTTTAGTTCTATTGCAGCTTAAAGGATCAGTTTAGTCAGTAAAGAGAGCACATCAGTTTCATGTGTGGAGTTTAAAGAGTTAACAGGGCCAGTGGAAAGTGTCAAAAACTCTTTTAAAGTCTAATAAAATATCTGTTTTTTTATGGTCAGGTTATCTTGAATCAAAAGTCTGATGCATGTTAGTAACAAGTCAAACAGGTGTCCATGTTGAAAAGCAAAACTTTTCCACCTTCGATAGAATCCTTCAGGAACAGGATCCTGACCCTGAACATCGCAAACATGGGTTCTGTTTTATATCAGCTACACATTCTGAGTCAGGAGAGTTTTTCCTCTGAATTGCCTCCTGTTTAACCCTTTAACAGTTTACTGTTGTAAACTTAGTCTATCACTAACTTGTAAAGCAGGTGTGGCATCGAAGCCACTTAGAGTCTGTTGGATTAATAAATATATTTTTAACCTGCAGAACAGAAATGTACAGTATTAATGTCCTACAGTTTAATATTCTGGATTTCTTCATCATATAGATTCAACTTTTATCAGAAAACATGTCAAAAGCAAAAGTGTGAAGCTGATAAATTTAAAATAAAAAGCTGATTTTACACAACAAAGCCATCAAGTCCAATTAAATTTAAATGATTTGAAGGTTGCCCCAAAAATCTCACAACGATATTAAACATGGAGTGAAGTGGAAATTAATAAGAATTCTGCTCAGTTTTACCATATCTGAAGCTTTCATTAAATCAGGACTTTCCTTACAATAAATATAAGTTCTGTTTACCTCAAAGTCCCATTTCCTGAAAAATTGGAACAATTAGAGTTGACGTGTTTTGTTAAATGAAAAAAATAAATCATAACAAATACCAGGAAAATCAAAATTAGAGTTGTGATCAGTGGAAATTCATAAAGATCTTTGAAACTGGCTATTTCTAGTCTTGCAGATTCAACCATGATTTCTAAATGATGTCCTCATTATGATAGCTGTTTTGTTTGAACCTATATTTTAAAGTTGGGTGGTATTTAACCAACATATTGCTTTACAAACTTTGATTATGAATAATTAGTCAGTGTTTGACTGAACAAACTGAAAACTTATACTGTATTACATGGTTTTAACATTTCTGATTAAGTTTCAAATCTTAGAGAAATGTTCTGATTTTTATATATAATAATGTTTTCTCAGTATAAGTATTAGCTATTTATTAGCAATATTTATTTAGAAAGCAGATCAAAAGATCAAACACTAGCAAGTCATGAGCAATAATTAATATTGAATTAACAACCCATCATATAACTAATTTTTAAGAGTATTTTTGAATAATTCTTGCATTGGGGTGACTAAAAGCTGCTGAGTATAAACATCTTCACAAGGCCTGCGTTTGACTGACCAACTCCTCACTCCAGTAAAATACTCTTCTAAAAGGCTTTTCCCTCTTAGTCTGAAGAAATGCATTGTTTAAGTAATAGTGTTTGAATGTTTGAAACATTGACATCTTATAGAACTGAACACCACTGACTAAGAGGAAACATTGTTGAGGAAATTAAGTGGTGGAATAAAAGGGGTAAAAAGGGGGAGAAAGGGTGAATTGACTGGTTTTGAATGGGTATCAGGGAGAAATTATTTACCTGTAAGAAATGGCAAGAGTGGTCCTGCTGCTGACTGCCCTTAGATTTGACTAGAGCTCTATCTAGGTCTAGGTTACCGGATCCTGCGCTGGCTCGTAGCTGGTTGTGGCTGCTGTTGTTGGAGTAGACCTCTCTGGCCCTGCTCACCGTAAGGCTTGACGACCATGCCCCTTTCTTCTCATGTGGTCCGTCCACAAGACCCAATGGCAGCAAGGGGCCACTTCCTCCACCGATACCTCCACCGATGTTATTGCTGCTACCACTAACTGGCACACATGCTGACGATGCTGCATATTTCATATCGCTGTTGCTCCGGGAGGCTTTGAGTGCAGAGTGGTGTGTGTGGCCATGGCGTGCATGGGTGTGTGTGTGCTCGTTTAGTGTCCCATAGGGGTCAACCATGAAGTATTGCTGGGACTGTGAAGAGGGGAGACTTGGAAGGGGAGTCTGGGGATACTTGTCAGGATTGTTGCCGTGGCACTGGGCCATTGACATGGCAACAGGTGAAGGGGAAATGGAGAGGGAAGGTGAGGGAGGAGGTTGGTGATGATGAGGGTGGTAGAGACACAGCTCCCGTTCCAGGTTGTCATCTGAGCTCCAATACCCGGAGCCTGGAGCAGATGCTGAACCATGGAGCTGGGGGTGGTGGTGGTGGTGATAACTTCGATGCTTGGGCTCCGCTGATCGACAGCGCTCACGGCTCTTGCTGCGCTTCCGGTGGCGCGCTCCTGCTTGAGGAGCCGCACCTTCTGGGCTGGCCCTTGAACCACCACCACCACCTCCTCCTCCTCCTCCTCCTCCTCCACCACCACCACCATTAACACTCCCGTTGTTGGCCCCTTTTGATGACTGTGTGTGGTGTGGCCCCTCTAATGAATGTGACTTGGTGAAGAGTTTCTGGACAGAGTGGACCAAGTGTCGAATTCGCCCAGGACTGTCATTGTTGTTGTCGTTGGGCCCCATCCCCCCACTTTGGGACAGCATTCCTCGTTTGTACTGCAGTGTGTGGTAGCCATCTCTGGAAAATGGTGGTTGTTGCTCATATGGGTCCATATAATTTACAGGTACCCGAGACTGTGCTTTACCCCCATAGCCTCCTCCACCTCCTCCCCCTCGTCCTACTCCTCCTACATATGGTACCATGGCCATGCACTCATCCTTTACCTCAGGATGGTGAGATGAGGAGGTGGAGTGGCACCTCCTTGGGAAGGTTCCATATGGGACAATGCTGTTGTTGTCAGAGGGGTATGGGCTACGCTGAGCATTGTAGTAGGATAACTCAGCAGGATGTGGCATAGGTATGGGTACCGGCATGTCCATCTGATTGTACAAATATGGCTTACGGTCAACATGGTGACCCAGTGGATCATATGATGGTTCATAGGAGACCACATGATGGTGACTCCGACTACTGGACAGGCCTTTCATGACAGGGCAAATAGATGGATGAATGGAAAGCGGAATGAATGGATGAAAGATGCCAGGCCAGTAATCAGAGGAGGGCTGTAGAGGACTGTCACTGGGAGGAGAGCGGCAAACTCTGGAAAACAGGGACAGAAAAACAATCATGTGTCAGTTAAGGCAAGAAGAACATACGACAACTTAAACGTCTAGATGTTAAGGTAGTATATCGCTGGACTGTGACTGCTGGAGACTACTTAGTGAAACAAACTTGTGAGAAAATTTGCATATTTTTGGGTGCAGTTTCTATAAATTTTGAGTGTTTGTGATCGTGTGACCAGCAAGCTGTTCTGTAGCATTTTACACAACCAGTTTTTTAAGTCACAAAACTATTAACAATTACTTCAAATTGTCTTGGCCCCTTTTGCACTGAACTAAAATCTTTCCATCTGCCACAACCAGTCCAACAACTGATGATTAGCTTTGTATTATTTCAGCTGTCTTTAAGAGTGTTTTTGTTGTTTTTGTAATTTGAAGAGTGGTGAATCATACAAACTATGTTCTCTGTTCAACTGTGGAGGTCTACGGAGCACATGAGGTGGGCACAGGGGGAATTTTATTTTATTTTTTTGTGTTCTGTAGTTCTCTACCTTTGTGTTTGTTACCTTGCAATACTTTTGCGTTTCCTCACAATACCTATATGTTACCTCACAATTCTTTTGCGCTAGCATGCAATACTTTTGAATTCCCACACAAAAGTTTGTTTCGTATTAACTCTATTGAATCAGAATTTATTTAGAAATATTTGGTTACCGAAACAGGATATGTTGCCACAAGTTCGAGAAATTGATGGTGATATTGTATGGTTGCATCATGGGCGTAACCGCCATAGGTACGGGGTAGGACATGTCCCCCCAATATCTGTGCTCTCTGTCCCCACCACTTTTTTCAGCCAAAGCAGAAAAAAAAGACCTTTAAAAAATATGTTCCCCCCTCTTTTAAGATGGTGATTATGCCCTTGGGTTGCATAGTGTTAAAATATCTGTCTATTACATGCCCCTATGCATGGCTGTTATACGTATATTCATTCTAAAGCTCAGTTTAAGTAGTAGACTAACTCTTGTACTGTGATATGTATTTGAATTTGTTAATAAACTGGCAGGCACAACAGTAAAAAAAAAACAACTTTTGTGTGGGAACGCAAAATAAATAAATCCTCCCATGTCCCCTCGCAAGCTCCGTAGAGGTTTAACTGTTTGTGGACAAAAGAAACACATCAATTTAGGATTTATAAGGCTTAAACTAAGGAGTAACTAAAACATACCAGAGTGGTGCAACTAGCTGTGGGTTGATAATCTCCAAAGCAGATTTGTGGCGCTGAGAACAAACATGTGGTCAACTTCAAACATGATGCCTTCTGTGTAACAAAACTAGACTGTTTTTCATCACCTATTTTCCTAACAAGTCTTAAGCTATCAAAATAACACATATATATGATTAAAATATCAAAGTTTCATTTTGTCTTGTTTTTTTTTGTCTTTTTTGATTGATTGTGAAGTGATACCAGAGCCCATATTTCAAATATAAAGACATGAAGAATTTGTTTTAAACCTCCCGCTGTCCTTGTGGCACGCTAACAAAGCTAGCAAGCTAAAGTCATGGCTGTCTCTTGGGGAGCCAACCAGGCCACTCACAAACACTGCCTAACAACCCCACCCAAACCCGCCTATGCCCCCAAAACCAATCGGGTGGTGGATTAATCAGGTGGGGGTCAGGAGGACCCCACTGCCACACCAAACATGAGTGGGGTCATATGGACCCCACAAAGACAGCAGGAACAACTTTTACTGTTTTTCTTGGTTCTTTGCTCAGCTGAAAGTGACTCATTTGATTTTTTAACCAATAATTATCTTGAAATATGTTTTATTGTATATTGTCAATCTTATAAGATTTTTTTCTCTCAAACTGTTGTAAATTTAAAAAAAATCTCCCAAATCTTTGCTGAGCAAACAGTCTGACGTTGGACCATTTTCCAACTGAAGACTATTTTCTGAAAGGGGGTTTTGTTAATTATTCCAGCCTAAAACATGAAGCACCACATATGTGTCACAATGAGAGTTTAAAGCCAATTGAACTAAAAAGACATTTAGAAACGCATCACTGCGAGTTGTCAAAGAAACCATCAGGTTTCTTCCAAAGAAATGTACAGAGATTAAATCATCAGCTGAGCTTCTTTGTAAAAATGTGGCATTTAATGATAAAGCTCAACTAGCCTCCTACATGGTTTCTTACTGAGTGGCTACAAAGGAAAAGCACCTCACAATTACAAAAATGCATCACTGCCTACTGCAGTATACAGTACATGACTACCACTGATAATAATAAAATAAAATCTGTGGAAACATTAAAATGCATCTATGAGTGACAACACTGTTTTCTGAAGAGTTATTGATCTTTCTGACAAGTTTCAGGAGAAACTTATTTCAAGACTAAAAGCAGGGATTGTATAGTTCAGTTCAAAGTACAGATGTCTCATACTTTAGCAGTTTACATGAGGAAAAAACAGTTTATGAAAGACTTGTTTCTTGAACATTTTTGCTGAAACAACAGGTGAGCGGATCTATTTGTGTTGAACAGCTACATTGTTTTAAAATGTGGTCTGGTTACTGGTACAGTAACTGTGAAAATATAAGAAGTGATGGGGCTGCAGATATGACAAGAAGAAAGTGCAGACTTATCAAAAGAATTAAGGCGGCAGAAGGAAAATATATTATGTGGAATACATAAAAGATCCATGGACACAGTATACAGGTATACCTCCCAGTCTGGACAACACGTTGAAAGAACTTTAATTTGAGCTGCAAGTCAAACAGTTGATATGAGGGCTGAACACACACTTCCTGTTTCAAACAGATGTATTCTGCTTTTCCAAACTCTCTGATGAGAGTTCAAAGTGAGAAATATAAATCATGCTTAACTTGACAGAAAGTCACTTACTGGTCTGTTTACTGATAAACGGCTTCTCACAATGTTCTATCGTTTAATCCTTCTGCAAACTGAGGAAAGCCTCAAGGGGGTTTCCAAAACTGGAAAATCAAATTGTGTATAGTACATTTACAAACATCTGTTATTTGTCAAAGCGCTGCACACAGTGTACTGTATTTGTCATCAGTGCACGTTCCAGTGGTGGCTGGTCAATAGAGGGCGCTAGGGCGCCACCCCACCACTATTTTTAGGACAGAAAAAATATAAAAACGAAATAACAAAATAAAATGTTTAGTAGAAATAACGATATATGTTTTAGATGTGTAAGATAAGTTTTATATAGTTATCAATGGATAAATTTTCATTTTTTACTCATGAACGATGTCGTGTTGAGTCACTTCTGGTTCATGCCAGGGCGTGGATTAGAAACAAGGCTAAGCTAACCGCTAGTAGCGAGGCTAATGCTCTGTTTAGCTTTCTGCCTCGTTTTTCAAGCATCAGGATCTGATTCAGCATGGATTAAAACAGGTAAGAGAAAAGCTAAAATACTTTTGTAATGCTTGTTAATCATAGTATATTATATATATCCAGTGTATCCAGTATATTATATATACCCTACCATTATACAGGCGGGGCGCCCCCCGCCAACGTGATGGCCCGGCCCTCTAAGAATTTCACGGCATGTAGTCATTTTTATTTAAATAAGGCCAGATCAAGTCCAGAGCTATTTTTTGTGTCCCTCCATATCCACCTCGCACCAAACTTGGGGAAAAAGACGGCGCAGAGCAAGGCTGAGCGCTGTGTGTGGTCCCCACAAAGATAGGAAGACGTGTGTGAGACTAGATGCGCAGCTCTGCCTTTAATCACGTTGCACCGATGCGACAGCTTTGTAAGCTACTTTTTCATTCTTTAAAAGAAAATGTGACAGGTGAAGCCACAGCATGGTTACTACCTTATCAATAATTACTGCCTTTTTTTCCTTTCTCTGTGGGTGGTGGGTCAGCTTCACTCAGCTGCAGGTGAACACCTCCCGGGAACGCACACTTTTCCTGGACTATTTTCCACCGAGGATTACATCGTATTTTATATTTATTATATTTCTAAAAGCACTTCGCAGCATTCCCCGTGTGTTCACGTCACGAGCGCAACAAAACCACGACGGATCAGCTGACTGTTTTTAAAGCGAGGGGCAGCGAACATGTCCACCTGCAGCTCGGCTCTGACCAGCCTGGGACTGAAGAGTTCACACG